AAAGAAAGCAGTTGCAGTGCGCAAGCCTAAGAATGTGACTGAACTGGAGGCCTTTGCCCATGAAGAATGGGCGAAGATACCCGTATGAATCGCTGCAAGACACTTGTGTCAAGCTATGCTTCACGTTTAAAAGCTGTTATAACTGTAAAAGGATGCTGTACTAAGTACTAAGATTGAATGTCACTTGGGGGTTGAATAAAACTGATAATGCTGTGTGAGCACAGAAAAGACATTTGTGGTTATTTCATTATAACTGTTATGTTATATTTTGTCTGACCTACAAGTGCCTCTTTAATGTAAATGTAAGCAAGATGACTGAATGATCAAAAGCAATGTCAAACTGGCCAAAACACTCAATTTCAGTGGGGGTTGAATAATTTTGGCCACAACTGTAGATCCAGCCTCAAACATGATGAGCAGCGCCTAACAATAGGACGACATGCCACGCCTGATGATGTTAACCCCATCTACTCTTGTCACAACTGATAGTTCCCCGCTAGCTACATTCTGTTTGTAAACAAACAGGCCAGCGGGATCCTAGGTTATGGTCCTAACCATATTGCCTTGCTACCTCTGCTAATTTACTCATTTAGGAAATGAATGTGTTGCACTATTGGCTTTTAGTAGTAATTTTAAGGCAGCTCTACTTTTGTGGGGAAAAATAGCAAATAAAAAGATTAATATAGCAATTACTACACAAGTCATACTGTAATGTTATTTAAAATTACCTTTCCTTTTTAACCTGCAACACTTTTACAGTTCTCTGTAAAATACAATTCAATATGGCAACCTGGAGGCATTCCACACACAATTAGGTAGAGAACGCCCCCAAGAAATTTAATTTTCTGATTGTGTGATTGGCTTACTTATTTTCCCAGATGTCTGCACTAATAAACAACTTAGATTTTGGGCGTCCTCTGCAACAAAATTAAAATTTTTCTTAAGATAATTCCAAGAGGAAATTGCATCCAAAGGTATGTAGACCCTATCACTTCTCCTCATGATTGATAATTATGAAATCACTCCTATTCACATTCACTTTACACATGGACACAGACAAGCAAACAGCTATTTCTTTCAGGATAACAAAAGGTAGGAATCTGCAATAAAGGTGGTAAAATCCTTACAATGTAGATAGATCATCCAGAGGGTAATATTTTTTTCTCAACAAAAGTGGAGTTACTCTTGAAGTCATAGACTGTTGTGCATTCAGTTGTTGATGATGTAAACCTTCTGCTTTTAAGGTAGCAGATTCCTGACCATGTGATGGCTCCACCTTTGTGTTGATGTTAAAGTAGGAAAATAGGAAGTCAGAACAGAAGTGAATTCAAAGGTGGTAGACATCATGGTAGAATGGGAAAATGTTGATGATGTAGGAATACTTTTACTCTCGAAAAGCTGAAAATTCTTGCTAGGATTGTAATTAGTGACTGTGAAATACTAATGTTTCTGTATCAGTTGATGTGACAAACACGATGAATGAGAAGTAGACTCCAGTAGAGTGCTTGTTTCTGTAGATGAAGAAACACCAGTCTTAATGCTTGATTCAATGGATGATGATAAAGAAGCGCTTGATTCTGAAGATAGTGATGATGACACAGAGAGCATTTTGTAGAACAAAAACAAACAAAAATTCCCAGCTCACTTATCATCCAGCCTGCAACAAAAAAACAAAACAAAAAAACAAAACAAATTGACCCTGTCTAACAGTTCACGTTAAAACAGGGGGTTTAGTCGCACACATTTGCAAATATATGTGTAAGCTGCAGTGACCACCTCCAAGCCAGGCACCCCTTTTCTTAATCTATCTGCTGCTATGCATGCTCCAATTCAGGAGACTCTCAAAATTATAGAGTTAGGATTACAGTTCACTGGAATGCCTTGACATGGCCACTGAAGCTTACACATATATTGCAAATGTGTTCGACTAAACCCCTTGTTTTTAACATTCATTTATTTATTTCAGATACTTATGACATGAACTGTTTATACAGGGTCAATTTGGTTTTGTTGCAGGCTGGCTGGTAAAAGCACTGGGAATTTTCATTTGTTTCTGATGTGCATTGCCCTTCCATGTGCTCCTTGCTGCAAAGGCTAGTTATAGGTTGGTTCTGTGAGCACATGGGTTCAGTGTCTTCCCTGGGAGAAGATTGAACCAGCTAGGCTGGAGGCGGGCTGCTCCGCCTGGCAAGTGCTGCCATGCAGCCTCAGGTGGGTCCACCTGAGAGCCTGAAGGTTGAGAGAGTGACCCTGGTTCTACAGTAAGCTGACTGAGAGGAGCTGTCTGCCATAGGTCTGTCTGGTATCACTGGAGGGAGTAGCTTGGAAGATAGGAAGGAGACAACCATTCTGTCTTTGCGCTTGTGAGTACAGACACTGAGAGATCTTGGGGACTCTGTGTGCTTTACTACCTCTCTGGTGCTTAATAGTCAGCATGAGTCTGAGAAAAGGTGCTACTGCAAAGGACTTTTCTCAGTTCTATTATTTCTGGACTGCAACAGTCTGCTGTAACAGGCCTGTACCTGTGGAGCTCAGCCCTGAAACTACTAATACTACTTCTAAAGGGACTTAGCTCACTTATAAACTACTCATTATTACACTTTAAACAGAAGTCTGCTATCTGCTTTCAGTTAGGACTTCAATAATGCTCAACTAAGAGATAGGTTCCGGTATCCTCAGTGTGAATAGTTCTAATTTTGAAATATCCTACTAAATCCTCTATCCCTATCCCCAGCTCTACAATAAAACTCCAGAAACAAACATCCCCTAGACTGGTCATTGAAGAGAACAAACGGATGCATGTGTGTGTATTTGGCTGAAGAAATACACTGTGCCTGGCTGCGGGGCAAAATAAGGGGAAATCGGGGCAAACATACAAGCGACCATCACAGGGTTAGAGCTACAATTAGAAAATAAACCTGTCATACTTATAATCTTAGTAGTTATAAACTCAAAGGTGTTTTTGGTTTAGACCCGTCTACTTTTTATGAAGCAGAAGATTCTTAACCATTTGATGTTTCTGACAGTGTTGATTATAGTGATGTTACAATTGAAAAATAGAGGTCTGCAACAAGGTGGTGAGCACCAAAATTATTGCGGAAGCAGGAATACTTTTGGTCTCCAAACTTAAAACACAATGGTTGTTATTTACTAAAACTGGAGAGTGCAAAATCTGCTGCAGCTCTGCATAGAAACCAAGCATCTTCAAGATTTTATTACCAATGCTTAATTGAACAAACTGAAGTTAGAAGCTGATTGACTACCATTCACAGCTGCACCAGATTCTGAGCGCACCAGTTTTAGTAAATCTTTCCCTGAATATGCTTGCTAGGAATAGTACCAATAACTCTGATGTGCTAATTAAGTGTTCTTTCATGGCAAGACCACTTACTGTTATCTCACATATATATTCCTATTATTATAGGCAAATTTACCACCCTAACTCCTCCCACAGTTTTTACACTACATAGACAGTAATATACCGAAACGTGTGGATTGTTCCCGATTGGTGTGCTATTACTTTGTGGAACGTTTCGCCGAATGGTTCACGAAATATCGCCGTTTTTGTGGTGAAATTGGTCCCATAGGAATGAATGGCGGAATGTTCGAAAAAACTAGAGTGGGAGCTGACAAAAGCTAGAGTGTGATCTGAAAAATCAGGACATGATTTCTGAACTGCCATCACTCCCTCATTTTCAAGCCCACCTACACAAATCGTATATATCAAAACGTTCAGCTATCCCTGCTGCCACTAAAAATGTCCACGGCTAAGCCATAGTCCTGATAGTTTTCACAATATGACCATTTGTTTGCAACTCATGCCGCCCATTGACATTCATTGAAACTCCACTCTAGTCACCTCAAAATTGAAGGGTAAACTGCGACTGTGTCTTAATTTTTAATATTTTAGAGACATACTATGCATCAACATTTAGGTCAGGGTCTTGTGATTCTCACAATATAAAGCTCTTCAGTGTAGGATTTATAATTTTTAAACTACAACCATTTGAAGATGGCAACCACCAGTGAAAAGAGCAAGTTGGAGCAGTTTGTTTTTAACCGCTCTTCTCTACCCTTGCTGTAGAGTGAGTTGCCATAGGAACCCAGGTGTGTGAGCAGGCAGCAGAGTGACAAGTCACTCCACCCAGTTACTCCGCCCACTCCAGTTGTAGACTACTGGTGGAGGCAAGAACACTTCACACAATTTCCCCAGAAATTTTAGCTTTTCTAGTTGCCTTTGTACCTGTAACTGTGGATATAGATAAACAATTGTCCAAAGTAGATTTTAAAGGAGTGCTTATTTCTGTGGTTGGAAAAACACCAGTCAAACATGCTGATTATGTGAATGAGGATAAAGAAATGCTTAAAGTAGTGTTAACCCCCAAAACAAATATGTAATATATTGCAGCTTACCAATCATTCGATGTGGTGGCTAGTTTTTTTGTTCAGGCTTTTTTTCCCTCTATTTTCACTTGGTGATCTGGCCAGTAACACACCTTCCGTATTATAGCGCCCCCTATCCGGATGAAGGAGAACAGGGGCAGCTTTGGACAGGACATTGTTAACTACTTGACCTCCGGAAGGTTTTACCCCCTTCATGGCATTTTTTGCTATTTAGCATTATTCTACTTTAAATGGAAGGTGCATAGTCAACACTATATGCAAATTAAATTTTTATTTTTTTTTCACACAAATAGAGTTTTCTTTTGGTGGTATTTGATCACCACTGGGTATTTTATTTTTTATTGTATAAATGAAAAAAGACACAAGATTTTCTGCTTTCTGTTATAAAACATATCCAAAAAAATCAATTTTTTCTATATAAATGTAGGCCAAAATGTACTCTCCTACATTGTCATGGCAAACAAATCCCAATAAGTGTATAGTAATTGGTTTGTATGAAAGTTATAGTATTTACAGACTATGGTATATACACTATATTGCCAAAAGTATTGGGACACCCATCCAAATCATTGGATTCAGGTGTTCTAATCACCTCCAGGGCCACAGGTGTATAAAATCAAGCACCTAGACATGCAGACTGCTTCTACAAACATTTGTGAAAGAATGGGTCACTCTCAGGAGCAACAACTGTTAGTGGTATTATAACAAAGTGAAAGAAAATATTCCTGCGCCAATGCAAAATAAATAAATAATCTAAATTGCTGCTGTGCAAAATGTGAAAAACACAAATAGTAATAATTATAAATTAAACAGCGCAAAATAGACCTGCATAAACTATTGATAAATCACAACACATAAATGTCCCATATTCATTGGTGAATATCTCATATCCAATATCTTCAAAAACACCATAGGACCACTTGTGATGAGGACTGGGGATTCCAAACAATTTTGGGATCAAAGAAACCTTCCACCTTTCACCCGTGCACACCAACATCAAATGCACTCACCAGATATTGGTAAATGACATATGGAGTATGGACCGGAAATGCGTCAACGCGTTTTGCCCCTCCCATCGGGAGTTCTCAAGAACTCGTTGAATGCGTTGACGCATTTCCGGTCCATACTCCATACGTCTGACGTCACTTCCGGTGAGTGGAACGCACGCCAAGCGGTGCATTCCAGCAGCCATCTTGTGGGATTTATGTTGGTTTCTCTGCTGTTCACAACATCCAGACGAGTGAAGGACACTCTCCAGGAGGTGGGTGTATCATTGTCAAGGTCTACAATCAAGAGAAGACTTCACAAGAGCAAATACAGAGGGTTCACAACAAGGTGCAAACCATTCATAAGTATGAAGAATAGAAAAGCCAGATTAGACTTTGCTAAAAAAACATCTAAAAAAGCCAGACTAGTTCTGGAAAAGCATTCTTTGGACGCATGAAACTAAGATTACTCTGTACCAGAATGACGGGAAGAAAAAAGTGTGGAGAAGGCTTGGTACAGCTCATGATCCAAAGCACAAAACGTCATCTGTAAAACATGGCGGAGGCAGTGTGATGGCATGGGCATGTATGGCTTCCAGTGGCACTGGGTCATTGGTGTTATTGATGATGTGACAGAAGACAGAAGCAGCTGGATGAATTCTGCAGTGTTTAGAGATATACTGTCAGCCCAGATTCAGCCAAATGCAGCAAAGTTGATTGGACGGTGATTCACAGTACACATGGACATTGATCCAAAACACACTGCAAAGCAACCCAAGAGCTTTTGAAGGAAAAGAAGTGGAATATTCTGCAATGGCCGAGTCAATCACCTGATCTCAACCCATTGAGCATGCATTTCACTTGCTGAAGGCAAAACTAAAGGCAGAAAGACCCACAAACAAAGAACAACTGAAGACAGCTGCAGTTAGAGCCTGGTAAAGCATCAGAAAGGAGGAAACCCAGTCTTTGGTAATGTCCATGGGTTCCAGACTTCAGTCAGTCATTGCCAGTAAAGGATTCACAACAAAATATTACAAATGAACATTTTATTTATGATTATATTTATTTGTACAATTACTTTTGGTCCTTTGAAAATGGGGGATGGCTACTCTTAAGAGCTGTAATTCCTAAACCTTTCCTCCAATTTGGATGTACATAACCTCAAATTAAACCTGAGAGTGTGCACTTTCAGCCCATATCCATTAAAGAACTATAGCTTAAATATGTTTTGGTAAATACCTGAAAAAATCTAAAATTGTGCCTGTGTCCAAATACATAAAGACCTAACTGTAAAAGTTTCTGTGCAGCTGTGCTATAATCCTTCCCCCCTAAGCTGTTAGCATACACTGTGAATCACACACAGAACAAAATAAAATTAGCAAATCTATAATTTGTGCAGCTCTCAAATCTCACTAAAAATAAAGTCCTTAATAAAGTACAACATAAATAATACATATAATAATAGCCGTCAAGAAATACATATATCCCTTCTATTATTTGTCATGTGGTTGTCTTTGTCTATGTTCATCTCTGCTGTTCACCAACTATCCAGAGTACCTCAGCAGTTAAGCAAGAAAAATACATAGTCCTTACTGTTTCCAAAACAGTACATAATCAGAAAAAAATTCCAAATGCTCACAAAATTATTTTTAAGATAACCACTTAGCAATCTGTGCTCAAAATACTATACAGTGTCCACGTGCATCTCCCGGTGAATGTAGTATGCTTACCCAATATCTTCGACCTCTGAATGATTCTGAGGTCTAATACTACCTGAAATACTATTATAACAAATTTACACACTGTGCCTTTCATCACATTCTGTAGATGTAGTTTGTTCACCCCACAATGTGAACCTCTAAACTAATTTATGAGGTCTGCTATGACTTTAAATGTATGCAGCTTATCTCACTACAGTGCAATCCCACACTTATATACAGTATAGTATAGAACAGGGGTCTCCAAACTATGGCCCTCCAGTTGTGGAAGTACTACAAGTCCCATCATGCCTCTGCCTCTGGGAGTCTTCCCTGTTGCTGTCAGAGTCTTGCAAGGCCTCATGGGACTTGCAGTTGCTCAACACCTGGAGGGCCATAGTTTGGTGACCCCTGGTATAGAGCATAGACCTCTCACCATTTATAACACTTAACGTTCTCTCATTGGATGGGCTCTTTAATGTACACTATATTGCCAAAAGTATTGGGGACACCCCTCCAAATCATTGTATTCAGGTGTTCCAATCATCTCCATGGCCACAGGTGTATAAAATCAAGTGCCTAGGCATGCAGACTGCTTCTACAAACATTTGTGAAAGAATAGGTCGCTCTCAGGAACTCAGTGAGTTCAAGCGTGGTACCGTGAAAAGTCTATCCGTGCTACTTCCTTGCTACTAAATATTCCACAGTCAACTGTTAGTGGTATTATAACAAAGTGGAAGCAACTGGGAATAACAGCAACTCAGTCACAAAGTGGTAGGCCACGTAAAATGAGAGAGCAGGGTCAGCGCATGCAGAAGTGCACAGTGCGCAGAGGTCGTCAACTGTCTACAGAGTCAATAGCTAAAGACTTTCAAACTTTGTGTGGCCTTCAGATTAGCACAATACCAGTGCATATAGAACTTAATGAAATGGGTTTCCATGGCCGAGCAGCTGCATCCAAGCCTTACATCACCAAGTGTAAGGCAAAATATTGGATGCAATAGTGTAAAGTACACCGTCACTGGACTCTGGAGCAGTGGAGACGTGTTCTCTGGAGTGACAAATCCACCACACATAGCGTTTTGCTTTTAGGCCAAAAAGTTCAATTTTGGTCTCATCTGACCAGAGCACCTTCTTCCACATGTTTGCTGTGTCCCACATGGCTTCTTGCAAACTGCAAACGGGACTTCTTATGGCTTTCTTTCAACAATGGCTTTCTTCTTGCCACTGCTGATTTTCCATAAAGGCCATATTTGTGGAGTGCACAACTAAGAGTTGTCCTGTGGAGTTACCATGGGCCTCTTGGCTGCTTCTCTGATAAATGCTCTCTTTGCCGGGCCTAGGTGGACATCCATGTCTTGGTAGGTTTGCAGTTGTGCCATACTCTTTCCATTTTTGGATGATGGATTGAACAGTGCAACGTGAGATGTTCAAAGCTTGATATTTTTTTATAGCCTAACCCTGCTTTAAACTTCTCCACAGCTGGCCTGACCTGTCTGGTGTGTTCCTTGGCCTTCATGATGCTGTTTGTTCACTGATGTTCGCTAACAAACCTCTGAGGGCTTCACAGAATAGCTGTATCTATACTAAGATTAAATTATACACAGATGGACTCTATTTACTAATTAGGTGATTTCTGAAGGCAATTGGTTACACTAAATTTTAGTTAGGGGTATGAAAAGGGGGCTGAATACAAATGCACGCCACATTTTTCAGATATTTATTTGTAAAAATTTTGAAAACCATTTATCATTTTCCTTCCACTTCACTATTGTGTACTATTTGTGTTGGTCTATCGCATAAAATCCCAATATAATGCATTTACGATTTTGGTTGTAACATGACAAAATGTGGAAAATTTCAAGGAGTATGAATACTTTTTCAAGGCACTGTAGATGAAAAGTGTGGGCCAACTCAATATTGAACCTTACGGACTAAGACTGGGATACCATTAAAGTTCATGTATGTGTAAAGGCAGGCGTCCCAATACTTTTGGCAATATACTGTATATATAGATATATGGTATTGTAAAAAGAGCCTTTTCCCTATGTGAAAACACCTCCAGATCAGTCGCTTGTGAAAACTCCTCCAGAACATCCACAGTACTCCTCCACCGCCATAAAAACATCAAAGGGAAACTTCCATAGCGTAACACCGTATTTATTAGATTAAAAACACTTACAATTGCACTTACATAAAAAACCATGTGTATGGCCCTTTAAATCCCAGCACAAAGCAATTCCTTCTCAGAGGACAAGTGTAGTGCTATTAGGCACTAATTGGAGCACTTCCCAGAGAGGATTGCTATGGTTAAGAAGATTAACTATTGTATCAACTAGTGTTCACAGTGGATACGATGGGGATTTTTTTTTCCACATTGGAATTTTTATATGTTTGCATATTGATTGGGACTTTTATACACTTACAAATTGTCTTTTGCATATAAGTTCACTGTACATATAGTTTGATGGTATTGTATATTTGCAAGTATTCATTTTATAGCACAGTTGTTGTTTGAGCACGTTGAGTATATATTGGTTTCCTATTTATTATTTAGTCACTGGGCAGGAGGGATACATTTGTCAGCCCATAGTGCATTGCAGTATATACACATTTGCGCAGAAATTTTATATGTTTGCGCTTACACATCTGTTCACCATTACACATTTGTGGTTTTGCTAGCAGCAGCCAGTCTAATTGATTAGTCCTCTGCACAGGTTACACTTACACAACCTCCGGCTTTTGGGCAGAGCCTACTGTGCTCATGCACTAGGGGTACCTTTGCCTATGGGCATGTTCACCAATTCCCAGGACCATGTGGGGACTGCGGTAATGTGTGCAGAGTCTAACATTAACACAGTTTCCTGACTTATAAATGAACTTTCACTGCGTGTAGCAATGACTCAGGGTTTCTCTGTTAAGTGGTTTCCTATAGCTCTACACACTGTGACGTCTACTTGTTGCATTCAGAGTGGCAGGCCAAGCTGCACCACCCACACCAGCCAGTGTTACCTCACTCCCAGTGACAGAATGAGATCCCGCTGGACACATAATGCAAATCTCATGCGTGTACTGTACTCTTCCTCACCCGTAGAGGCTAAGGGTCTCCTTAATGCTGGTCTTCTCCCACTGAATCGCTAGGGAAGGAACCCAAGCAAAGACTCCCTCACTCCCGGAGGACTCCTCACCTCACTCAGGTACCACGCCTATGACTGGTTGCTTTGTGTTATGAACGTGTACTTAGTTTGCCTTAGCAACGGCCTTGCTCTTCCTTAACATACTGCACTGACATGTTCTTCATACCTCTCTAGTGCTGTAAAGGCTCAGGTTATTTTGGGAAATGCCAGAACCAATATGCACCCCTTTAAATAACTTCAGACCAGGGGCGGACTGACCATTTGGAAACTCAGGGACTGCCCGAGGGCCGGGGGTCAGTAGGGGGCCCCATGAGATGCCCCATGGTACCTTTTTCATAGGCTTTTTTTAATTTGGGCAAGGACACAGGGGCCCCATGATCCCCTTCTGCCCGGGGGCCCCATGAGTTGTCAGTCCTCCCCTGCTTCAGACTAGGCTCAAGAAACAGGTAATGTAATTTTTACCGAAGAAACGTTAGCAATACAGTTCAGTATGAACAGTTCCATGTCCCTAACACTAATTACTATGGTTGATGGTCCAGGAATACCTTCTGCAGGTGATAGTCCATATAGGCAGAGTTCATTCCTGGTGATACTCTGGTACCCTCTATGGATGTAGCAGATTGCAGGACCGCCTTAGAGCTCGAATTCCAGAGTAAAAGTGTAGAAATCAGCTCCCTTGGTCTCAGCCTTTCCTCTATTTATATCACCAGTGGGCCGACAGAAGCTCGAAAAAAAACCCTGCAAACCGAGCTTAGGCAGATTAATACATTCCACCTCCCAGCCTGGACCAGTCACTAACTCACTAAGCAGAACCCAACCTGTTTGCAAGCTGTACACCTGTGTTTTTAAAGCTACCAAGGATTTCATTGTGAGGGATGCTGTTTTTTTGAGGATAATGGCAAGTAGCAATTTCCGTTCTGAACTGTTTTACTGAAGTAATGATTCTCAGCTAGACTCTCGGTTACTATAGAGTCCTATAGATACTATACTATGCAGCCACGTTACCCTAATTGAGCCACAGAGACATTGCTGTGAAGAGTCCACATTTGCGCACCTTTCATAATCTGTATTGTGCAGTATATGTATGCTCTCTGCTTATCTGACCCTGTTTACCGATTCCAACTGTTCACTTGATTAGTAAACTGCAAGTTACAGTTGCTCCTTGTCTCATCATTTGGCCGATAACTTATGGTGTTACACTTGGTATTTAAGAACAGGATCAGCTATGTCAGACAATGCTAGTAGGAGTGGTACAACAGCGGCATCCGACAGCACTACTCCAGAGGGAGGCAAGCAACCTATCTCCCTTGTGATAATTAACCCCTTATTCCTGGAAAGATGCCTGCCAAGTAGTAGCATAAACAGTGCAAAGGTAAGGGCTTTGAAATACACAGTATGGTGTCTATAATGCCGTGGCTGGAATACGAAATGCACAGAATGCAGGGGCAGAAGCTTGTAAAGCATTGGGTACAGGGTCATAAGTGTGTCATATGCAGAATGCTGGTTTTAGGCATATGTAATGCACATAGCACAAAGTTCAGGAGGGCAAATTCCACAGGTTCATAGACAGAGTACAGCAAAAAATGACTTCCCTCCCCAAATCACAATCCCACCCAAGTTTCTCCCCTACCGCTAGTTCAGATCCCCCATACTGATCTCCCCCCAGTACAAGTCCCTCCAGCAAAGACCCCCAATCAGGGATCTTGTCCCAATACAGCTGTCCTGCTCGGTACAGATCTTCCCTTCCAAGTACAGATCTCCCCCAAGTACAACTTTCCTCAAAGACAGATCTACCCTCTCCATGAAACACACCAATCAAACCAGGAATTTCCGAGAGAGGAATAGGCATCCCTTGGTCATGTCATCATGTGACTGGGGCCAAGCAGAAAGTAAAGCCAGCCTACCTTGGTCTGAACTGTTGTTGTCTATCTGACAGGCGGCAGGAGGGGAAACCATAATGTTTCAAATGTGAGGCCATTGTCAGCTATAGCTGCTGCATTGTGGACACTCTGTGGGGGTTTGGACCCCTCTTTATTTATCCTGTATTCACATACTGGAGAATTCATTACATTATCTCTGTATTGCAATAGTCAGTATGTATGGAACAATGGCTTTATGAAAGCTTATGGTAGTGTACAGAGAGTGCGGGAACCTAGACATCAAGGTGATAAATGCATTGTGCAAAGTACTCCTATGACTTTTGTACAAACCCCACACATTTTCCTCTCATATAGGCATCCTCTGCATCTGCACAGTAGCAGCCAGTGTGGACCTATAAAGGTATATATATATATATCCTATATATAACAGGTTTTTTTTTTTCATGCAGCTTGATGGTAACCTATTACATGCAGTATATGGGTGTCATATCCAAAGAAAGGATCCCTGCTCCAGGTCTGCGTAGCAGGATCCATACAACATGCCAATTGCAGAGGTGTTCACCTGTCTTGCCTCTGGAAACAGCAACAATTGAAGAGAATGGCTGAACACTCAGCTAGGATATGATAATATATTAGATATTCTTACAAAAAGTATAAAGTATTAAGCAGAAATACATAAGCAGCTGTGTAGAAGAGGCAGATGGTCCTTGGGCTTCAGAAATAATGTGTACATCAGGACAGTGCTGAGATCATGGCTGTGGAAGTTCCATTTGCAGAATCAGCCTGACAGTTTAGAGGGCTTGTTGGAGGAGCCAGTGGCCATATGCAAAGAGGATTTTTGCATAAAAGAGATAACTTCATTACCCCAATAATGTTATGAATAAGCGCTATTAAGCATGAAACACGTTAACATCTCTCCTTTTTTTCCCCTCATCTTGTGTGCTA